GTGGCTAGTGCAGGAATATGCCGCCACAAGCTTGAGTTGATGGTCTACCAGTGTTTTATTCAAACTCCATGCAATGACTTCCAATTTGCCAAATAATTATCACAACGACAGACTACGCGCCTGAAGGAGAAGTCACCGCACGCAGTTGGACCTTAAATTACCCGAGAAAACGACAGAACGCATTTTGAAAGATCAGTGCGATAGCTGCAGATATCATTCTGATGTCACGGTTAATTAGTTTCACACAAAACACTCCGGTTCAGACTACCAGCAGAAAGATATTTTTAACTAACTGACCTTTGGTTTTTTGTTTGATATATTGTTATCTTACCATAAAATGAATGTCTCAGACTAAAAAAGGAAAAGCCTGTGGTTGTGGTTTTTGTACGCAGTACTGCGGCTCAGCAACTATCACCTTCTCTCATTTAGAAGTGTGCTAATCAATGAAGCGGTTTAAACTTGTGGAAAATAATTGAAAACAATTTAGTTTGCTTAATGTATTTGCTGAGAACCTCTTGGTCAGAAAATCAATTAATAAAATTGATTAATGAAATAATAAATAAATAAAATAAATAGATAAAAGTAAAAATTAATTAATTCTGTAGACTTGTTGCTTTGCTCTGGGCCTAACCTCTAATTAGACAATATTGAGTCTAAGTTTTTCTAGACAGTGTTTTCATAAAAAAGGAGTAGTGTGAAACCAACTTGGGAGAATGGCCAACCTAACCATAGGTCGTCAAGAACTCCCATTTAAATTTTGTGTGTAAATGAAGTACCAAGGAACCAAACAATTGATTTGTATGAAAACTTTCTGTCATTACACGTCGTTAGACGGAAATACCTTTCCACAGAACTCTGGTCCTCTAACTGAAGCCAGTCTATGCTAAAGAGCCCCAACTGGTATTGTACAGCTGTTTCATCTTTACTGGTATTCATCACTAGAGTTTGTCTCACGAAACTCCAAGAAGTTTTGAACCCGCGACCTCTTAGTTGGAAGTACGAAAAGCTCATCGTTTGACAGCAGGCGACCGATATGCAACACGAATAACTGGCAGCTTTTTTCCTGGCATTTTGTCATTCAACGGCGTAATATACACAGGGTTTACACACGCACTTTCAACCTTGAATAATGTAACTGACGTCAAACTCAGTCGTTAAACTGTGGGAATTATGTCATCAGCGAAATTATCCGCTAAATGATACCGCAATATTTTGGGATCTTCAGCTGATTGCATAATCTCAGTCCTTGAGCCCGCAGTAATCGTGTCCAACTGAAGAAGACGAATCAAAACACACAGAATGTAGACACACAAGAGCAGAAAAACGACGAGTATGTTATTTTTTAGAAACCAGGGCTTATCTCCTTAGTCTTGGGCATTCTCGCGCCTGTTGGTCTTGAGGAGAATAGTCCTCTAGCATTCTCGTATCAGAACAGTTCAGCAAAAATGTTCTTCGCTCACGCCCCGCTATAAGGCCTTCCACTAGTTATCCGAAAGCAATTATTCCAACCTCCGATCCCTCTTGAACCGGTAGTCCGGTAAGAGAGTAGAATCCGTGAATGCGTAGGCGCTCCCACGGGGAATAACTGTTCGCTTGCTTCAAATGCTTTCACACTGGTCCAAGGAACAATCAGAAAATCACCTGAAACTTTGATAAAACAAAAAATGACCTACAGTAACGCGTTGCGAAGTTTTCCCTTTTTCGTAGAAAGGTGAAACATCGATCAGCAACTTTGCATTACTAGTGAAAAAAAGATTTTTCTATAAACGTAAAAAGACCAGAAATTTTTTCTTGTTTAACTGTTCTTTGTAAGGAAGAATCCGGTAGGGAAAAAGTCTGAAAGAGTAAATGTTTTCCTTCCTTAAAACATTTTTGGAGTTCCCTATGATTGCAGGAGGTGTATTGTTCAGTTTTACATCACCCTCGTTTTGAACAGTCGTCCTCCTGTCCCGGCGCAATTATTGACGTGAATCCACACCAAATGGGGGGAACAATGAACTCGAGTTTCGCCCTTGTTAGAGCTCGTCAGCAGTGCATATCCATTGACCGGTGGGTTTTACTGCAGCCGTTAGGTCTTCCAACTGAGGACGTTGTCTTATGTCAACCTACGGACTGAAACGGGCTTTGTCCTTCTTTGGGCTAATCGAGCAGGCACAGTCTCCGAGTTTCCATCAACATTATGTTCGACTTGAACCCAATTTGAACAGATCTAGACAGATACACTCATGTGCAGATCAGCTGGTTTTTTATGACATATTTAACTGAATCTCTCGTTTTGGGTATTGGTTTGCTAAATGGGTTCAAGTAGCACATAAGTTTGAAGGAAGCTTGGGGCCTATATGATGAGCCCCAAGAAGGGCAAAAGCGGTCATGGGCTGTCGAAAAGTTTTCAAAAACCTTATGAGTAGTTTCCCTTATGAAACTATCCTGAGATATCTCAAATGTCATGCCAGCTAAGATATGAGGTTGCATTTGGGCAGCACATTCAGCTGAGAAATATCATAAGCGAGAGTTTCGGTTGTCTCTCATGAAACCCGTATTGATATGTAAATGAGTGTACGTAGATGAGTGTTACGTTACCTCCTCTTGGAAAGTGGATCCGCCACGTTGTGAAACAGCAAGCTTTTTCTTTAAAGAAGGTTTTGTTTGACAAAATCTGGCATGGGAAGCTTCCGCATGTTTTACCTTGCCTCCTTGATGGAGATTACACATGTAGTTTCCAGCTCTAAGTTTTGGAAGGGATAGCCCTAAGGAGCATTCGCACAACGTGGAGAACTTTGTTTGGCAAACTTTCGTGAAAACCTTGAATATGATGCCTCCCAGAGGTGCAGTGTTGAACAGTGATGTCATGCTGAGGATGATGATGATGATGATGATGATGATGATGATGATGATGATGATGATGATGATGATGATGATGATGATGATGATGATGAGATGATGATGAGATGATGATGATGATGATAAGAGGTGCCAACCAACCGGCCCACAGTGAATTTCTCACTTCTCCAGAGGACTCCCTGTCGTGTCCCCACATCTCTTGAATTCCAGTTTCTAGTATCCAGTTTCTAACATCGTATACGTTATCCGCTAATTCCTCCACAGTAGCTGTGTATCAGTGGAACTCCTAGCCAGCAGCCGACATTACCAGGTTACACAATCAGAGCCTTATCTTAAGCCATAGTCAGCATTCAAATTCGCCACGGATGCTTGGTAAGTAAATCACTTGGTGAGGCTAAGAGTATTACGGTGTCCTGATCGGAACTTTTGCTTCCTGATGACTATTGGTCTGGCACATCAACATCAGTCGTGAGTTTCCCCGTATCACCACCTTACGGAACATGTCCTGGAACTATACCTAACCGAGTATTCTGCCTTCGTTCACATTGTTAATTAAGGACATGGTCGGTAAACCTCCTGAATTATTAACCGTGTGCCGCAGCAAACGGAAAATTTATTAACATTCAAGATGAAACATGTTCTATTACATTTTGCTATCCAGCTTGCACGTTCTTTGTCGGCGACGTACAATGATCATATCAAACGGAATGAAGTTCCGAAACGAACAAACACTCCTCTGATTTTCTCTAGTTGGTTGTAAAAAACGATTTACGATTGATAAGCACAGCCCGTAAAAGTTGATCGGGATTTGTCAATAAAAGACTGCGGTGTGGACGACTAGATAAGTTTCGGCCCACAATTCGTTCAGTTTCAATTAGTCGCTGGTCAAAAATTACCAATAATCGCAATGATTGATCACACTTGTGTGTGCGTGTTACGACAGTAGCGTTTTCCCGTGCGAGACGTCCCCGTACTCTCACACACTGGGTTGGTGAAGAAATTTGGCGACGTCTTTTTGGAATTCGTCCCACAAATCTCGCCAGATTTGCAACGAAAAATCGCGAATTCGTATTAGCTCATTTATTTGTGTTGGAATTTATTGGCCTAATGACGAATGGACTTTTGCCAGACTTTGTGTGCATGTGAATACTCTAATATTTCTCTGCCGGTAGTTGATTATTGAATTGTCAAACCACCAATGAAGCGGCCACACACACCAGCTGTCTTCTTAGACGAAAACGCTCCCTCCGATGGAGCAGTTCTTCATATCTCTGACGATAGTCTTTTTAGTTTTCTGATTCTCCAGTGAGATAAATCATCTCGCTGTCTGTGACTGAAAGTTATAGAATGACTTTGACACCAAATGGTTTATGTGTTTGGTCAACCTCGGGCCCATTCATCCGACTCGATATTTATAGATTAAAGTCGTTTTAGTTAAAGGATAACAGCAGCAGCTGTCAAGTTTTAGTTGCGAATCGATTTCACAGAGTAGTGTCTTGGTTTCTATATTTAGGTACATGTTTCATAACTTGTTTTGTGGGCCGAATTTGTGTTTGGTGGGGTGGGGCGGCTAAATCCCTTCGCTAAGACGAAGGCCATCACGCAGAGCAGGTTATCTAGGGTTTTCTGGGGTTAGACTCCTTAAGTGTAATAAGTGCTATCTTTGATAGAGGATCACTATGTAAGGTTGCTGAAAACTGCTCGATAGTGTGAATATTTCTGGATTGCATCTGACAAACTAGTCAGTTTCCTCTCAATATCAACACGCTGTTACGCACACTGAATTCCCTAGTCTTTACGAGAACGTGTAGCTATTGATTCAAGCTCAACATTTTGGTTATTCGACAAGGTTTATGGCTTCTCTCAAGAATAGCTTGTGTGTACATTTTTTTTAAAGGAACTCATGTACCAACAGCGCCAGGCTAGGTAAACAACCCTGTATCCATCCCCAAGGCCTCAAAAATCAAGATTCTTAGGGTCCAAGGCACACATGATTTCTATCCCTTACACTGGAGTCAGCTGGTGTCTACAACTGCCAACGGGGCATTGTGCTATCTGGAATGTATAGTTATCCCACCAATACCTCTGGCATTTCCGTTCACCCCAAAAGGCCGATTCCAGGTTCCTTCCTGAGTTAAATACAGGCCTGGATCCCTTACCGAGTAAAGTATACATAAATGCTGCGGTGCATTCAGCAACGGTTTATCAGATGGCTTTTCAGTCTCTGAGAGTACACTTGTGAAGCAAAACTTGAAGAAATAAGCCTGTCGTTCTGATGGAGGAGGCGGCTAATAACACACGAAAAAATAGCAGAAGGCTTTATTTAGCCACAAAGTAAACCTCCATAAAGCTAACTGGATTGTCTACCCCTCAAATATGGAATTAAAACTCAGTAAAAAAAAGTAGTCAAGATAACTAAACGCAGCATTTCCTTTGTATCCGGGCGGCGAACTACTGGAAAGGACCCCCTGAAAATTATAGTTTCAGCTAGTAGGGTGGAGGAGTTCACGTGACCTCTTGAACTTCTTTTAGAATAATGTTTTTTTATCGCTTTCGATTGCCTCATCTGGCTCCTTGGAGTAACTTTTAGTTAAAATTTGGCCTGCCCATTTACCCTGCTGGATGGATTCTTCCCCATTCACTTTACTCGCGGCCCCTGCTGTAGACGCTCATCATTTAGTCATTCTATCTACAGAGCGGGCTCCGAGCAAACCTACGAAGAGTTCAGCAAGCATCAATAGACCAATAAGAAAGGGCCACTCTGGAACTACGGTAAATAGTATTCTGTGGGACACGGAGTTAGCTGTATCTATAGTAGAGTTAGCTGCAGCCCATAGGTGCAGTCAACTGGATAGTTACTTGGTATTTGCATGTGAACCAAATCACAAATTGTAAATTAACTAAGTCGCTCTTTAAGTTTGAAGTCGTCCGACTGCAAGCACTATCAAAATCTGAAATGGGCATCGACTATTGACAAAGACCACAGGCTGTGGTCCTTTTGTCTAGACAGTATGCAGTTACACAAGCCCTTCCAGTAATATCATCCTTTACAGAGTTTGGCCATAAAACGGCAGACTAGGTATGCACCAAAAAACTACGTGAATATGTATCCGGTTCACACCAGTATCTGGTTTGATCGGTCATCATGCTAGTGAACTACGCTGAATCACGTGGTAGTCTGCCCTGTGCTTGCTGGCACCACAAGTGAACTTGAAAGTCAAGTACGCCATCTGAGGACAGCTTTCAGGAAACTAACCAAGGCGTCGGATTTTCGGATAACGCCGTAGTGCTAAAACTTCCAAGTTTCGACTTTGTACTGTAAACTTCTAATTTGACAGATTGACTTTTTTCCAGGTATCTAAGATCGGTGGTATTCTGTCTAAGTTAATTGGGCGAGGTATTTCATTCTTCTAGACAGTGAATAGTTTTGGATCAAACGCCATTTTTGCAGACAACCTAAAAAAGCAGGAAGTAAAACTAGAAATAAAGGAGTTCCTGTAAAATAAAAGGAATCTGTGGTAGCCGATGCGCATGCTTCACAAGTCACATGTAGTGATGCAAAGCTGCACTTCTGCAATTCCTTGAGATCATGAATGCGAACCACTCCACAATGACCTGAACAAGGTGATAGGTGTTTGGTTCGTAAGTGGATCTGACGCTTTTTTCTGCCGGATGCTTTAACTAAAATCCATAACATAAATTGGATGCAATCTTGTCTAGTCGGTTGGCGTGAAGTTCTGAACTGCGGTTACTGGGACACATCAGAAGAGTCCGTTATGCGCTGATTTCTACAAATGTGTCGAAATGATCGGTTCGGACCCGATTTGGCATATCTCACATACACAACTAGCCTTCTGCTATTTCCTACTTCCCAATATTTTTCCCTCTCTAGTGATAATGGTCATTTGCCTGAGGAGGTTCTAGTAGGTTCTCATGAAAGAAATCACGCAAGGTAAGCAATGAGATTTCGTTTTACCTCCTCGGTTGAACTCCAAGGTCCACCATCTACATGATCAGAACAGCTATTTTTGGCCTAAGCGCTACTGATTAACATGATTAACATGACGTAGTGATGTGGATTCTAACCGCGAACCTTTGTGTTAACTGATACAGGTACACGAGCTGACCTCTTCCAACTAAACATGGAGAAAAGACTGAGAGCTTTGGCTCTAAACGGCAGATTTTTAACCAAGATCATTAAAACAGCCACATTGTGAAACCAGTTAACAAACATATTAGGTTGCACAGCTTGGTATAAAGAATGACAACTGTCTACAGTAAGAGTGAAATCCAAGAAGCACTACTTAACTCTTTCATCCTTGTTAGAAATCATTATTGGTGGTTGTCTCATGAATCTCTCTTGGGGAACGGAAGGGGTTCGCGTGAGTCCTGCTCACAAATTCTTGCAAATCGTCCGAAGGCTGATGCGCTACGAGACCACTAGATCTGCGTAGATCTTGGAAGAAATTAAGCTGAGTATTCAGGAGGATGATAACTAAAACGTTCAGCACTTACTCCGTCCTATTCATCAGCACCGAAATCAGCGCTTTAGATATCAGTTTGCGATGCATTTTTCACTGGAAACCACCTAAGTTTTGTGTCCCATGCAGACAGCACAACCAAACAGGTGGTTAATTTCTAAAACATATGGTGCGATTCCAAGCTGTTACTCCTCACACGTTTTTCATCATGTGTACGAAAGAGAAACAAACATTTGTTACCGACTGTCGTCAGTGCCATGATTTTTGCGTCACATTGGCGAGATTTCGCCACTTTTCACTATGCCAATAAATGCATTTCTTGAAACACAAAGAAGATCAATTAGGAAACTACTAACACGGCTACTGAAAACTCGACAGCCCACGACCGGTTTTGCCCTTCTTCGGGCTCATCAGGTAGGCGCAGTCGTGGGCTGTCGAAGAGTTTTCAGCAACCTTGTGAGTAGTTTCCTTTATGAAAATATACTGCGATATCTCGAATATCGTGCCAACTGAAACATGAGGCGGCCTGTGTGCAGATCACTTAGGGTTCAAATGTGACTAAGTTCAGTTGTTAAACAAACTCTCACGAGTATATTGCATAATTCGTTCGGAAATCTTACTGTCCTTCTTTATTTATCAACTGGTAATCTGAAAGTAACAGTGTGTGTGTGTGTGGAGACCCTCAGCTTGGTACCCTCTGGGATACAACACT